ATTTAACACTGAATTCACTATCATCAGTGAACATGAATCTGTCAACATGTGACAATTCTACATGAATAAAAACAAACATATCAGCATCTGTGTTTATGCAAAATCATGTCAGGAAACATGATCAGAAACCCGCTGAGAAGAAGAAACAGTCAAGAATATATAAGAAGATGAAGAAGATGTGTTATTCATGATAGTATATTCTGATGATCATTAGAAGATAAACAAGTTCTAATCACATTTCACAACACATTATACTTACTGCTAATGAACTGCTCAGTATGAGCACTACAATGACACTTGTTATGAGAATGAGAGGTCATCATCAGAAACATGTACAATGTGATAGATAAACAGATGAAAAGAGTTGAATAGAAGAAGAAGTAGAAATCTTGAATGAGATGATGATGTTTAATGATGATGATGATGATGATGATGATTGAAGAATGAGAAAAGTTAGTGAATAAGTGATATAATATAGTGAAAGTTTCTTTGTAAGAGTGTATACAGAATACTAGCTGAATTAGAAATAGATCATATAATCATAAGACACTAGTGGCGAGCTAATCCGCATGAAGCTAGAGTGTACAACATGATCATGTGAGTGTGACTGAATCTGATAAGAGAGAATATGATTCAGAAGAATGTATAACTGTCAGATAATAATGCAGCCGCTTCTGAACTACTAGTATACAAATGTAAAGAGGGCTCTAGCGGCCACTAATTAATTTAGCATATGAGATTCAATATATAAGAAGCCGGCGTACGCCTGTAATTGTACACTGGCTTAAGCAACCTTTGAATCACAAAGTCACAGAAACACTCATGAGAAGCTTAGCAGTAATCAGATATTATTGTAAAGATATTAAAATTGAAAAATTTTTATTCTTGAGAAGTTCTTGAATCAATATACAGATATTGTCAGAAATACTCTCTCTCTATTATCTGAGTGAAAACACTTCACAGATGAATGAGAATACTCACAGTTTATAAGAATGAGAGCTGTTACAGAAAAAGAGAAAAGAAGATAAGATTCTGCAGACAGATCTGAGATATTTATACTACTCTAAAGAGATTTACTTACACTGTGAGTGATTTCATAGAACAGTCAGATCACTCTAGTAAATAAGAGTAATTATAAATTACAGATCTGAATCTTTCTATGTGACTACAAAGAGTAATTGCAGACTGTGAATATCTTGATTCTATAATTCTACAGAGTTAATGAAAGAATGGAAAATTTCTCACAATTCTACAGTATCAAAGAACAATAATTCATGAGAATAAGTGAAAGATTAACTCACAAATGTTTCTCTTTAATGAGAGTGATCTCACAGAGAGTGATTTATCTATGAGATGAATCTGTATAATAATTATATAAAGAATCTCATGAAAATAATTGAGAGTTAACTGAAATTCTTCTATATAAAAGATGTGAGATGAATCTGTGTGATAGTCAGAGAAGAATCTGTAGATTACAAAGAATCTTACAGAATAAGAAACTGAGTGATAGACTCTTTTCTCTTTATAATAACAAGGGATTTTTCCTCACTGAGATTTTTTATAGATGTAAAGAGTTTTTAGTGAGTATCACTGCAGTACTGAGCTGACTATGAAGTCACTCAGTGAAAGGCTTCATGAATGAAGTCTTAGAGAGAGAGAGATATATAAGAAATCTCACTTCTTATAAATTCTTTATCTCTATTTCTATCTCTTATGTAATCAATAGAGCTAGCGGCCCTTGACTACACACAACTATATAGACTGAAGTTCATGAATACTATTTATAACTCAGCTTAAATGCTATTATACATTTGATCTCTACATTTTATCTTTCTATCATGAATACTTCTAGTAGTTAACAGTACATATCACGCCAAGCTGCAAACACCCGAATAATCGCCTGCGAGCACTTATTCTTACAGAAACTAGAACATGATTATTTCAAATCTTATATACAAAGATTTGATGATAGATTTGATTCAACAGAGTGCTCATTCTGCAATGTGAATGAAAATTCTGAGCATATTGTAATGCATTGTGCATTATACAATAGTCTCAGAGTCAGATTAAAGAAGAAGTATGATTTAAATTAATTAAATATGAGGTTCTTATTCTCAACTGAGACAGGAACTAAATACTTAATAGACTTTCTATCAGAAACTAGAGCAGCTATAAGAAAATAACTGAATTCAGAAGTATCTGAATATGAAGAGGTGGAAATTGACTAGATATAGTCTGTTAAAACAGCTATATATCATCTTTTAATAATTTTGTTTTGTTATAATCTCTCTTTACTGTACTTGTTTCCTTCTGTTCTTTTCTCTATCTATTTAATATGTCTATCTTTAAGACTATGTTCTCTTTTCTTTTGTCATAATATTTCTGAATGATTTCAAACTATCAGAAGGTGTTGAAATACTGTAATTTGTAAACAGTTTTTGTATTCTGAGCTGGAATTTTCTGATTTTGCATATTTGAAATTGATAAATGTATAATAAGTTGACTCTATAGATATAGGAAAAACTCTGAGAACTAAAGATTCTCAGATAGATGTCATAGTCTCTGACTGCATACATCTATAATTGAAGAATAATAATAATAATAAATAATAATAAAACTGAGCTTCAGATAGTTGTGTTGTACACAGTCTTTGTATAATAAATTATTCTAAGAGTTGATAAGAAGAGCAGAAGTGTATATACTGAGAGATATAATTTATTAAGTCTATATAATATCTTCTTGAAACAGGGAGAGCTGGTAATAAAGACAGAGATGATAAAATCAGAGATAGTAAGAGCAGAAGAATCAGATACAGAGACAGGTGTAGAAGATTGAAGAGAAGTGATAGAGAAAGAAACAGAGAGAGTAGAGAGAAATACAGAAGATCTGATTACATATAATATAGATAATTTCTTCATTATTATATTCTTCAAGTTCTCAATCAATGATTTAATATTAAGTTCACTATCATCAGTGAACATAGATCTGTTAACATATAAAGATTCTATATAAATAAAAACAAACATATCAGTATCTGCATTCATGTAAAATTGTATCAGAAAATACAATCAGAAACCTGCTGAGAAGAGAAACAGTTAAGAGTGTATAAGAAGATGAAGAGAGTGTATAAGAAGATGAAGAAGATATGTTATTCATGATAGTATATTTTGATAATTATTAGAAGATAAACAAGTTCTGATCATATATATTTCATAATATATTACACTTACTGCTAATAAACTGCTTAATATAAGCACTATAATAATACTTGTTGTAGAAACAGAAGATCATTGTCAGAAATATGTATAATATAATAGATAAATAGATGAAAAGAGTTAAATAGAAGAAGAAGTAGAAATCTTGAATAAGATAGTAATATTTAATAATGATAATAATGAAGAAGATAATTAAAGAATGAGAAAAGTTAGTGAATAAGTAATATAATATAGTGAAAGTTTCTTTGTGAGAGTGTACACAGAATACTAGTCAAATCAGAGATAGATTATACAATTGTGAAACACTAGTAACAAGCTAATCTGCATGAAGCTAGAGTGTATAATATGATTATATGAGTGTGACTGAATCTGATGAAGAAGAATGTGATTTGAAAGAATGTACAACTGTCAGATAATAACACAGCTGCTTTCAAACTACTAGTGTACAAATGTAAAGAGAGCTCTAGCGGCCACTAATTAATTTAGTGTACAAGATTCAATATATAAGAAGCTGGTGTACGCCTGTAATTATACGCTGACTTAAGCAATCTTTGAATCACATTTTTCTTTATCATGATATTTTCAAATAATTTCAAAGTATCAGAAGATGTTAAAATACTGTAATTTATAAAGAGTTTTTATATTCTGAGCTGAAATTTTCTGATTTTATATATCTGAAATTGATAAATGTATAATAGTTAACTCTATAGATATTAGAAAAACTCTGAGAACTTTTAGTTCTCAGATAGATATTATAGTCTCTGACTATATACATCTATAATTGAAGAAGAAGAATAATAATAATAATCACCAGTTTTTAGACATGCTACTAGATGTGATTCAAAGGTTGCTTGAGCCAGTGTACAATTACAGGCATACGCCGGCTCCTTATATACATTATACTAAATTAATTAGTGGCCGCTAGGGCCCCTTTACATTCGTAAGCGTGTTCGGAAGCGGCCGCGTTATTATCCGGCGGTCATACGTTCTTCCGAACCACAAGATCTTGTTGCAGGGCCAGGGTGACTGGCGAGCAAGCTTCTATCTAGAGATTCAGTGTTCACTTAACTGGTTGTTCATTTCTCTTATTTCTTACACATTGTTACATGTTTGAATATCTTTTTCAATAGATAATCATTTCTAATGAGGAGACAATGAACATTTTCCAAGTGTAAGAGGCCTACGCCGAATAGATCGGTACTAATATATAGGTCTTATATAACAAAAGTGAAAAACATTAGAGAAGGAAAAAAGAGAAAGTGCGGGAATCAGTGATCAGAGTGGATATTTATAAATGTATGAGGTGGAGCTTCGGAGCGGGAGAATAGGAACTCCGTGGGTTCCTCAGCCAAGGATCAGCGACCGAGAATCAGAGCTTTTGGCAGGAATCCGGCAGGAATCTATGGACACAATTCAATTATTTTCAAATTACAAGTTTCACATTCTGAGTGAATTATTAAGCTAAGTAACTGTTCTCTGAATTAATCATATATATTTATATGATATTCTGTATATAGTTCTAATCTTTAATAGATAATGTTAATATCTTATTGCATTGTTGTGCTATGGTTGAAAATTAACCGCTTTATTGAGTGCTTTTTGGAGTTCGTTGAGTGTTATCCTCTAACAATAAGCTAGGGCATGTGACCTGACATTTTACCTACACTGTGAAAAAAGCCATTTGACACATTTGTCACTATAGGCCATGTTCGGTGGTTGGTTAAGGCTGGGATTCCGATTTCTGGGTGGGAGTATGAGGCTGAGACGGGGAAGGCGAGGATGATTGTTTAGGGGTATGATCTGGCATTTGTTTTTTTGACGTGATGAAGCCAATTTCTATTTAAATTTTGCATATTCTATATTCCCCGATGCCGATGCTAAATGTTGTGATGGATTATATCTTTGGTTGTATTTGCATCGCAATTTTTCCCTCCGCCTGTTTTGTCTCCATATATTCAACAGAAGATCATAAAAAATACACACACATATGTATATATAACTAACCAAGAAGGCAGGTCAAGAGAAAGCAACAAAGTAAATCAAGGTCGTAAGGGGGTATCACAGAATCAGATAATCTACTTCAAAAAAGCCTCAAAAAAGAAAATATTCCAACCAAAACTTGCCAACCTCCTCTCAGTCCCAACAATTGACTACCAGTAACTCACCCACTCACCATTGGCGGCACAGCAGGTTGAATCTCCCTAATCTTAAATCCACCCTCATCCTTATCCTCTCCCTTCCGCGGCCACAAAATATGGCGCAACACCACTGCCCGGACCATCATGGCCGTGACAAAACAATAAATCATCAGTAGCAACACGGTCATCACACAGCCTGCGATCTCGATCTCCGGACATTCGAATGCCTTGCCGATGGCGAAGGTGGCTGTCACCAGCGCCGTGTTGGGGAAGACGAATGAGTACCAGGTCATGGAGAAGATCATGCGACCGCGGCTGACGGCTGACCAATGGCCGAAGGTAGCGATGATGAAGAAGAAGATAGCGAGACTGGCGATTTATTATCCTGTTAGCGTTTTCCTTACGCGCGGAATCGACCGGAGGGGTGGGTGGGCAGTTGTTGGGAACCAATGTGCATGAATAAAAATAAAAAATATAAAGATACTACAAAAAGGACATACCCCCAAAGCCACAACGCGGCAAAATTCGCCACGAACCGAATAACCATTGCCGCCAATGGGCCATCACCCATGAAATGCGGCGGGAACGCCCGTTCCGCATTGCTCGCCATGCCCACCAAGCCAGCAACCGTGAACGCGCTCGGCCCCACGGAGACAAACATACCCGGCCGCAGGTTTTCTTTGGGCAGCTTCTGCGTCATCAGCCTGTATATGAATGCTGAGTACACTGTCAATGAGACGAGGAAGCCGACGCCCTGGATGGTTGTGCCGCCGACTATGATGTGGAGAGCCCGTCTCTGGGATAATGTGCCGCTTAAAACGGCGGCGTGTGATCCGATGATCAGCATCGGGTACGCGGGAAATATCCATATGGGTGTCATTTGGGCGATTGTGAAGGTTTGTGTTGACCATCTAGAAAATCACCCCGAGTCAATGGATTATTCGGTTGATAAATTTTGAATTTGTGATAAGGTACGCACATGGTCAGGTATATGCCGGCGGAAAACATCACGGCCAGAGTAGCGTTGAACCAGAATAGGATCCAGGTAGTCGTATCCAGCCATTCACCAGTTCTTGGAGGGCCATATTGTGAGATGTTGATGAGAATGGTTCCGAACGAGACGATCGCCGCAGGAACGAATAGAGACTCCGTGGGATGCATGAAGGATGCTTTGAATGTATATGGGTAATGATAGAACCGCGTGAGAAGCAGGCCCCAGATGCAGCAGTACAAGACAATATTGATGAGCATTATTACGATGCCTATTTTATCCAGGCCGGGGAAGCGGTATGGAACTAGTTGACCGTTTAGCATTCAATCAGGAGGGTAAATAGAAAATAAGACATAGAAAAATAGTCAATATAAATCGATATAACATACTAAAATATACCACATTTGCCAACCCCCCAGTCGCCATCGTAAGCGTGAAAAAAGCCCATGTAAAATGTCGAATTCTTTCTTTCCAGGACAGCTCCAGTAACGAAGAAACATCGTCATCGAAACTATTGAAGCCGTTGGCCCCGTTGTCCGACTTAACCTCATTAAGTTCTGTCCCAGCGGCCGTGGCATCGTGTGCGGCGCTGTTTCTCGAAGTATTGGTCCGTTGGGATGCGCGGGAGCGAAGCCGTTCAAGGACGGGAGAAACGGGAATGTCTGACTGCGATGTTGGGACGCAGAGCAATTGCTCTGGGAATGGGAATTCGGAGTCGACTTCCTCGACATCCTCGATTGTAGGCGTGCGATATCCATCATCGCCCGGTCGGCGGAGGTGCCGTGGAATTGAATTCGGCGACAGCATCACCCGCTCGCAAGGGGCGGGGCATGTATGCGCGCTCGCACTCGTTTAGGGGGAAGGTTTGAACGACAGCTGAACGGCAGATATGTTTATACAAGATTAAGAGCCTGTATGGGAAGGGTTTACTAATGTTGTGTCGTTCATTATAACTTTAGCGATCAAGATAGGTACATATCCCTATTGTTAAAACCAGTCTGATATTGATAGGATAGCAAGTCAAAGAAGAGCTGAAAATTGGGCGGAAGCACGGATTGAAATATACATCTGACATCAACGGCAGCAAAAGAAAAGAAAAACAGAAAAGAAAGAAGAGAAGGGATATAAAAATGATATCTGAAGAGGGGTAGCCGAATACTTTCCTTTCCCCCGCCATTTTTATCTGGTCAGAACGGCGCAAACCCGGTTTGCTTCGACATTTTTTCGGATCCTCAATGGAATAGTTATCCAGAAAGTTGGGGAGCGAATAGGAATCTCAAACCAGGTAAGTAAGTTAGTTTGAATCCCAGCCTTAACTCACAAGATTGCCACAGCGGGCGTTCCATATTTAGCTGATTAAGCGGGACGGACGGGGTAAAGGATGGCTAGCGACGAATAATATCATGGTGGGTTTTTAGTTAAATATAAACTTAATGATATGTCGATAGGTATATAGACAAATATATACATTATACATATATTCCACAATAAAATGGAAATAGTATATAAAATAACAAAAAGGAAAAAAAAGGGAACCACCTCGTCTAATTAACCAAACCCAAACCCGACGACGTACCCCGCCGGCTCTATCATATCCAATTAATTACCTGGTGAATGAGATACAACATTCACGCCTTTATATATTTGGCGAGAGCAGATCGTACTTCACGCACTTCTCGACGCTCTCAATGCTCGCCTGCAGCAGTGTCCGCGCCTCAAGCCCAACCCATACCTTCAGCATTGACGTGTCGCCTTCCCGCACGGATTTGAGTAATGTCGTGCCTGATCCAAGTTGGCGGAGGATGGGAAGTGCACTACCGATCCAAGTCAGAATGTTTTTGTATAGAACATAGTTGAGAAAAGAAAATTGAAACCGAAAAAAAAAAAAAAAAAAAAGAGCGAACCTCTTAAACAAATCCAATTCGGGATCCATGCTCCGCCCAATACCCTCCAGCAGAAGTATGGATATGACGACATTGACAAAATCTCCCTCAAGCCGCACGTGGTGTGCGCGCACCATATACAACACCTGGCTCAGTACATCGCCAATCTTAACATTGCCCAGTGCAAACGTTCGCCCCTTCACCGCCAACACGAGGTGTTGCATCTTCAATGCAAAGATCTCCGGGTCGATTACTGCGTCCGGCTGTCGGCACCGTTCCACCATTAGCTGGCCAGATTTGTATCCGTCAAACTCAGCCACCGCACGGAACAGGTCGAGGAAGTTCCGGCGGTTGTGGCCGTTGAGTTGTGTGACGAGGCCTGTGTCAATGAATATGAGCTGCGGCCGATAGCCTTCCTTGTCGATCTCAGAGAGAACAGCCTTCCACTTCTCCGGGTCCCCTTGGTGAGGCCGGAGACGGTCAAGGACAGATTCGGTTTCGTCGACTTGGGTTATTTCCCTCGCAACTGTGCTTGGTTGATACGTCTTGAAAGAAAGATCGAGTTGACCAGGTTTGTAGAAGCGGACCATGATATTCCCTGGGTGGAGATCAGCATGGACGAAATTATCGATGAGAAGCATGTGTAAGAAGGCGTCGAGGCCCTCACGGGCGATTTCCTGCTGATACACCCCTCCCCCGCTCTCGAGAAATGTAGACAACGGGATCCCCTGGGCGAATTCCTCAACTAGTACCTCCCTGGTTGTATACTCAGTATACGGATATGGGAACGAAGTCGTTGTCCGCGACTTAAAGTGGTTACGGAAAATCTGGAGGTTTGCAGCTTCAATCCGCATATCTAGCTGGAGTCGCATCATGTTTCCAAACTGCTTCACCTCATCGGGAAATGAAAACCACTCCATTGTGGGAATTGCATTGATCAGATGTGCAAAAAAGGCCATGATCCGGACATCTCGCCGCACAGTTCTCTGCACGCGAGGATGGAGCACCTTGATCGCAACGTACGATGAGGGCACCCGGTGCGGGCTACTCTTAACCAGTGTATCCACATTCTTCCTCAACTTGGCCCGCAGATTCTGTGGTTGATCGTCCCGGACTAGTTTATCTTGTACACAAAGATCCGGACGCAGCTTTGCTTTGTATACTTGTGCAATAGCCCCAACCCCGAGAGGCTTCTCGTCAAATTCTTCGAAGATGTCTTCAAAAGGCATGTTGAAAGCTTTGCTTATAATCCTCTTCGTAGCATGTAATGAGTGGGCCGGGGCATCAGAATGCAATGAAGACATCTCCGCGCACAGCTCCGGAGGGAATATATCAGACCGCGATGCCGCCCATTGACCTAGCTATTACATTAAAACCCAATACTATTAGCGAATTCCATCCACCCCTAATACTATCAAACTATACATTCGCGTCCCCATCCAGAGTTTAAAAAAGAAAAGAAAAAAAAAAAAAAAAGACCAAATAAAAGAAGAGACCGCATACCTTAATAAACGCCGCCCCAGCCCTCTCCATCCCTCTAACCAAAAACGCATACCACCAAAGCGTCCCGCTCCTCTCCCCATCCCGACTCTTCACCCGCCCACCAATCCAAATAACCGGCACCGTCGCAATCACCGGCACAAATATGACAATGAGATGCAAAAGCCGCATCGCCGTCGCCACGGGCTCCGCCACATACCGATCCACGAATATATATACACTCCAGCAAAACCGGACGATCACGTGCAAGTCGTCCGGAATCACGCGCAGGGCTTCCTCACGCGATGCGGCGAGCATCTCACTCTCAGCAGTCGTGGTGTCGTCCTCTATGCCGTTCTCAGCCAGCTGGAGGAAGGCAGCTGGGGTTAGAGTAGCGGCAATGAGGAGGGCTGTTGTGCGGGGGTAGGCATCGGGCGGGCGACGAGGGGGAGGTGGAGGCGGAGGGAAGCGGTAGTTCCGCCATTGAAACTTGTAGTGCTCAAGGAATTTCCCGCCATGATGCTGGCGGGATAATTGGCGTATGATGTATCTAGAACCGGGTAAGGTTATGGTAGAGGAGCAGAGGCGCGGATAGGTTGCGGAGGACGGCGGTATTTGTGGTAGAGGTGCAGGACGGAGACGACCAAGCCAAAGGGCCGTTCTCATGATATCGCGGATAAACGGGGATTTCGTTTGGAGATGGTCATTAGCTCGTCCTGCTCAATATATGGCTATGGCTGAGTGACTGTTGCTGCTGTTTCATGATTCTGTCGATTGCCTGAATATTGGCGGCGGAAGTTGGTTGGTTTGGCCAGACGTCATATTTAGTCCATGTGAAGCTAAAATAAATTAGTTATTTAACTGAAGTGGTTAAGTTAGTTAACTTTAGTTATTTAACTACTGGTGTACCAGACTATCAACAAACCAGCCTGCATATTATACTCCGTATTTAACTTATTTAACATGAATACCCCCTGTCTACCCCTTTTCTGACACGGTAAATATAAAACTTCCACAATAACCAAGCAGCCGCACACATTTGCTCAAACTTCAGGCCCTCAACACACACAATAGTCCACACAACCGGCAATGATTAAGAGAAAACGGAGAGCGCTCGATTTCAGTCAGTGACACGAGAGTCTGACAATGCGGATAGAATTATGGACATCTAGCGAAGCGCACCTCACCCAGACGCATCAGTGATTCCAATTCCATTTATCGCCGTCAACTCGAGCTATGGTGCGGTCATATTCATAGGATCTGTTGTTATACCCACTAAGCCACTAGTTTGCTGCGTAGCGACGCTGGCACCAAGCAAGAGGAACCCCAGCACATCCATTATCACCAGAGCCCCGGAGGAGAGTCGGGAAATCGGGCGGCTCAGGAGCGTGATGGCCCAACATGCCTACATCATCAACCACATTACATTCCTGTGTAAACTATGCCGTAACATATAAATATGAGGAAACTAACCGCAGTATATGTTGCTGGATAGCTGGTGATGGACTCTGGTGAGATGGCAGGAAAATCACAATTACAATAAAGGAGGCTGCCCGTATGGTAGCTTGCGCGAAAGCAGAAGCCTGAGGGTATTGAGAATGTCTGTGACCTGCCATGCTGGTCCTGGTGAGACTACAGAAAAACCAAGTTAGTTGCCTCAGAAAGAATTATTCCTCCTATTCTTGAAAAGCTGACAGGTGATCCTCTTACGCCTCCGATAGACAGCCAACATGTCAGCTAGCTTGGCATCAAGGGTAGAAGATTGCCTGGGAGCAAGGTTGTGATTTGAATGTTATCTCATTTCTCTGTCATTGGAGCTCGGCTAGAGGGGAGTCATCAGATATGAGAGTGAGACGCAACATATAAAATTGTACAAAAGAAATATATATAAAAAAAAGTTATGCACATGGACCTCAAAACCAAGACCAATCGCCATCCATTTCGATCTATTATTCATATATATGCCATGAAAAATAAAAACCCCAACCAGTCAAAGTAGCCAGGCATTCTATAGTACACGCTCTATCGTACATTAGACATAAGCAGAATGCTCATTATAAAAATACAGCTCTCATCTACCGACGGAATAGTGGACAAGAGAACACCAATATTAACACATGAAATAGCATTTTATGCCAAAAATGCATAGAGGAGCGACCCCGGGCCGGGAATATGGGAATGAGAAGCTAGAATAGCGGTCCGTGTCGGCGAGCGAAGTTAGGAATGTGTCCTGCGAGAACGGAAGTTATGCTAGTCGATGCTTTGTAGTGGCGGAAGTGTACTCGATTCAGAGTGGGAGAGCAAATCAATCAACTTGGCAATGAACATTTCGCGAACCGGATCGGCACTGGCATGATATGTTCTCGGTATCACACGATGTTTTTGCTTACCCGACCGTCGAGTTTTGGCGTCGATAATAGACATCTCTTGGAATGCGGAGGAGAGAAACTGCCAATGAGAAAGATGGGAAATTAGCTTATAACCAGGTTTTTCGCTGAGGAAAAGGGCCGAAATCGAACGGAATCAAGAACGGATCTTAAAAAATAAATTAAAATAAAAAAGGGAAGCGGAAATACAGAAACATACGTGATCCAACAACTGCTTGTATTTCAACAGAATTCCCGCCGCAGTTTCTGGGTCCTCGTGGCCGCCCTCCTCAACCTCGACGTTGAACGGTAGCCAGCCATCCATGTGCAATATCCTCCCTTCGCTTTGAATCTTCTCGCCAAACAGGAGAGCCATCAATGGCGTGATACGCGAGGTTGGATACATTAGTTTACCCTCGTTAGAAATAATGAATCGGGAAAATGTCATCAGCGAGCCTAATGTCACTCCCGAATGTTGGAGATTATAATTGGCACTGTCAGGGCTTATAGATAGGATATCATGACGCTTGGATTGCCATCGGTTCCAGACAGGGCCATTTAAAACGCAAGTGTTTGGATATAGTCCACCAGCAATGATTGCTTTGACGAGGGCAACGTTGGATGAGTTCGTATTCAGTCCTCTGCCGCCAAAGGGGTCGTCGGTAATCTCGAACGGGTCACGTTGGTAGGGTATTAACCCATTGTCCGAGAGAATTCCCACGGTCTTCTGAGTACTGGTTAGAAACTGCTTGAAACCTGAGAACCGGATAGAATTTTTCTGACAATAATCCAGTGCCGCCTCATTTCCCTCCCCTCTTAAAATACCGAGGAAGGTTCTGAAGGTATTAATCTCCGCGATGTGATCACTGCCACTCTTCTGACCAGACATCTTCAGCTGTCCGATTCCGTCAGCGAAGAACGATTGCGGTTGTAACAGAATGTCGGTGATGAGTATGGGTTCCAAACAACGGAATATTATCCCCAACATAATCAGTTTACCGCGCTTTGGATGGATTGGCAGCGTGCTAACAAGACGGCCCAGAGGTGTCAAATTGCCGTCATTGTCCATGGCTCCCATGCTCTGGAGACTGGACAAGGCGGCATCCACGGAGGAAAGCAAAGGGGGTTCGGGAGCACTGAGAAGAAATCGCCTGACATCGTCGCTCAATCCTGCTGCCTTAACCCGCAGGCAGACCGTCTGGAGATCGGTTCGACGCAATTCAGGAACTGCCGCCTTTCGCAATGCCTCATATCTAGTTTCCGTGAATAATGCGTAATAATGGCCATTCCGTACTAGGCCCGCGTGAGCAGCTCTTGCGTCTGAAGTTGATTTGCTAGCCCAGCGAGCGCTAGGCTTTGACCACAATTGTTCCGGGTAATATACTGGTTGGTTAACCAGGCCAACATCCACGACATGTTTCACGCCCAGCGGAGCAGTCGATGCTTCGTCAACGTCCTCGCAGAGTATAATTTTGCGGCAACCGGGAGGCACAGTTTGGGAGATCTCGGGGTTTACCGTGTCACGAAAGTAGAGTATTTTATATTTCGACCGGTCCCTGAAATTGACCTTGAGTGGACGATCGTGCAGCAGTTTCTCTGCGACGTTTCTCATATTGTTATGTCCAGGTAGGAATACTAAGATTGGGCCTTTATTGCTGGTCTTAGCGATATGCGCGATGATGAAGGCAACCAACCCAACGGGGACTGGAGGGGCAATTTCGTCGAAAGCAACCCTCCAGTTATCTCCCCGCGGATTTGATTCAATCTTGTCACCTGAATCCATGGAGCACATGTTTTCGGGTTCACGGATTTTGGTGGCCTCTTCAGCAACGAACGTTTCTTCATTGGACAAAAACTCTTGTGTCCTTCTGTCAGCGAAAAAGGGTTCCAGTTCATGCGGAGTATACTTTTCCTTTAAGGTTTGCACCATATCGTCAAGAAAGTGATGTTTAACGACATGATCTTGGTCGCGAATATGTAGTAAGGGCCACTTTGTTTGGCCGCCGGAGTAGTCAGATTCAAACTCAAGGTACCTTCCTAGAAGGGACGTATCGATTTCGGGGCTAGAACTCATTAAAGCAACTTGGGGAACAGATTCGTCTGTCTCCAAACGAGCCATCATTTCCCTTTTGAGTACGGTTAGGAGTAAATCCGTGTCAAGATCCCGTTCATGTAAATCATCGATAATCAGATGGGAAATGTTCCCTAGCACTTCATTAGGCGCATGTTGAAGCAGAAGCAGTAGAACCTCTGTTGTACTATACGTAATACTGCCCTTCAGCAGCGGTGCTCTGCAAATCGACATAGTATGATACCCGACGGTATCACCAACAGTTCTAGCTCGTTCTTTAGCAACCTCGGACGCACGGGAGATCGCACCACTATCGGAACGCTGGGCGATGAGAACGTTACAATCGGGGCCCTCGTCATGCTGGATCGCGTCATCAAGTAGTATTTGTGGTATTTGAGTAGATATACAAGACAGAGGTGATCCCGTCACAATACTGAAGATATGTCTGTTGATAAGTTCAAGGACTTCATTGCGATACGAAAAAATGGGCAGTTGCTTCATTTTCCCTCGGTCCATTTTCATTAGTTTCTCTAGGTTGCTTTTCAGTCCTTTCGATTGTTCCAGAGTTGCCTCTGGGTCCATAGGGGACCTGATTCGCTTCCGAAACTGGTCCACGGGTGCTAAATCAACGCCTGGATCTCCTGTTATTTCTGGGAGACCTGCCTCCTCTGTCCGGCTGAGGCTGTCATGAATGGAGGCTAAACACTGTTGTCCCAAAGGGAGGGACACTGGGTGGATATGAAGAGCAGGAGTTTCCGTGAGATTTGCCAATCCTTTCAGAAACAATGGCAATGTTTCCGGGTGATTCCGTTGAATCTCAACAGCGATAACAAGGTTAGCAATCCGACAAATATCTCCAGTGCCAAAGTCTGAAATTGGGCTGCAAAGCTCCACTTTAGACAACACAGGCGTTGCAGTTTGTTTGATCCCGCGGGACTCGAGAGCGGATCTAGCAGGGATGATTATGATATAGGCTTCGAGTCCGAGAGTTTTGTGGGCGAATGCTACAAACTCCGTCGAATTTTTGGTGCTAAGCGCCCGAAAATGAGAGGAAATTTCATCACTGTCTCCCAGGCGTTTTAGATATTCGTCGGCTTTGAGCATAAACCATCTGTTAGCACTTGCGTACGCGATGCTCGCATCGTCATTGATCCCAACCGCTTTAATCTGATGCTGATGGAGTGAAATTGTAACTGTTTTTTCAGTATCATGGCCAGTCGACACCAAGGGATAAAGTAGAAACCTCGCGGCATAATTGAACGCATCTTCCTGGTTGACTCCCATAAGCAACACACCCCTCTCCTGCTCCTTCTCCCTCTTCTCCTCCTTCTCCACGTCCATCTTTATCTTCGCCTTTCTCTCCATCCTTGCCATCCGTTTCTCTTTGTATTTCTCTCTCCGTCTCTCCCTCCTTTCCGCCCGTCTTCTCGCCCTCTCTTTCGTCTTCTCAATCTCCTCCTCACTATCTTTCTTTCTCCCTAGGTCTATTTCTCTCCCCGCCTTGCTCTCCATCTTTGCCTTCCGTTTCTCCCTCTGTTTCTCCCTCAGTATTGCCCTCCTTTCCTTCCGGTTTTTGGGCCCCCCTTTCTTCTTCTCAATCTCCCTCTTTTCCTTCCGGCTTTTGGCCCCCTCTTTCTTCTCCTCAATATCCTCCTCACCATCTTTCTCCCTTTCCAGGTCTATCTTTCTCTCCGTCTTGCTCTCCGTCCTTGCCATCCGTTCCTCACTCTGTTTCTCCTTCCTTTCGTCCTGCATTTTGGTCCCCTCTTTCTTCTTCTCAATCTCCTCCTCACCATCTTTCTCGCCCCCCTTCTCGTCCCCCTTCTCACCATTACTCGCAACCTCCACCTGCTGGGCCTCCCACTCCCTTCTCAACTGCCCCCAACTAACCCGGTTCCGCAACAAGTCCGCTCTATATTCCGTCCACTCCTTCTCTTTATCCACCCACGCCATCCTCGTCCCCCGGAGTGTGCGTACGTCATTAGGCATAACCTGCGACGCCCGCCCCGCTTCCAGCGCCTGCTTGACCTTTTTCTCCGTCTCCTCCACAATCTCATGATACTTCGCCCTCAACTCCTTAGAGCTCTTCTGGAACATTATACACTGTTTCTTCATGCGGAGAGACTCCTTCTTTTTCCAAACACACAACTTGTGCCATTCCTCGTGTGAGGTTATTATGGACGTGAGAGGTTTGCCCCTCCCAGACGCTTCCCGCAATTCGTTGAATTTGGAGGAATAATCTTCTATATGCGGAGTTTGCTCAGGATCCCCTGGGCGCGCTGCAGGACGAATACAACTCTTAATTTTCTGGATATGTAGACGTGTTACAAGGGAGGCAAGCGGTGGCCGTTTAGGCGTCGCTGGGGCGGGAAGTTTTCTCTTGTCAGGGGACGCATGATCGCCCTCTGCGGCATGAGCCGTTGAATTGAGCCGTCTACATATCGATGGCGGCGGGAATTTCTTCGCTACTGCCACACCTGAGCGACAATAGTGGTATCCCAGGAGGCGCCGTCCAACGGGAGAGCGGGAATAGAGGACGGGCTATATTTATGGCCGCAGAGGGGAAGAGGTTAGTTAACGAAAGGCACACAGACATCCTATGGCGATTCGGTAGTCAGATAGATAGCACACCTCGGGGCATCTCCGCAGAAGCGCGCTCACCATAACGCTACCTCCGAAATGTAGTATCAATCAATCATCAAACTTCCGCATTGCGAGAGGCATTCATTAAGGGAGATATATTACTTGGATATATAATATTCACCGAAAAGGAGAGAAGGTTAAGAATAATACGTGAGAATAAACAGCGAGAGAAGAAAAAGGAATGAAAGCAGAATCACATCCAAAGTAGTAAAGAGGGAAATTTTTAACGATCAACTTGGGTCAAAGCTTCCAGAGGTTAAGCCGCGCTAGTGACAAAACCGGAGCGGGAGATCTTATCTTATCTGATCCTCCAAAACCCCTCCGATGCTATTCTACAATCCGCACGCTTGACAAATACAATAGAAGAAGAAAAGGAGTCGAATCAAGTCTACAAAGAAAGGGGGAAAAGGGAAATGAAATGATAGGAAAAGATTATTCACAGGCCCCTCTCATCCACATCCGGATCCGCACCACCAAGATATCTCCACAACCGGCTGAGGTCACGAACAGTCATTCCAGCTCCATCATTCTTATCGTCATCCTCATCATCACCATCACCAGGATCTTCCGCGCAAAACCCACCGCCCGTGCCCACTGATATAACCTCACCCCCGTTCTCACCTACCGCAGCAGACGACTCAAAACCGCCCGTTTTATCTGCCGCCACAGTAGCATAATAAGCCTCCCGATCCCGACACGTACACTCGTCAACACTAACCACCTGATCTAGGAATCCCGTAGGCGCACCCGGCCGATTATGTCCAGGTGGTAGCAGCCGCGTATCCAGCGGAAATATATTATCCAGATAATGCTGATTGAACATATGACCGGTCACGCCGTTCCGGATAAACACTTTACCACTATACCGCGTCTTGGCTGAGCGGACGTTGTACATAACACCCCATCGCGGAACGATGTCCTCCCCGTTAACGTAGTGCTCAATATACCTGATGACTCCTTTTGAGCGACGGCGGCGCGTGGGTGAGCTCACGCTAGGGCCAGAAGGGGAAATGGGAATGGAAGTGGTCTGGATGGCGCGCATGGGGTTGTTGAAATGTGCGGCAGCGGAGCCGAAGGTGTAGACTTCGAGTTTGGCCATGTTCTCGGCGGAGAGGATAGTGAATAGGAGGTCTAGGGCCATGGAGACTATAATGCCGCCCTGTGAATGGGCGATTAGGACTACTTTGTGTACTGTTGGGTCTGTCAGGCAGTGTTTGAGATGGTCGTAAGTATAGCGTATACTGTAGGTGTTGTAGGCGAACGAGCGTTGGAAGATGCATTCGATGATATCCCAGACGAGGCCATTGGTAGGGTTGTGGATTCCAGTGATCGCGCGGCCAAAGGTTCGGGAGAGACGGGCGCAGTTATTGGCGAGGCCGCGATTTCTAAGGGATTTTATGAATAGTTTAGAAATACTCTACCGCGCCAGAATTAATGAAAAGGTGGTAAAAATCGGACATACCCAACCATCACCCCATTCACAAAAATCCACTTCTCACCCTTCCTACCATTTACACTATCCCCAATCCCCTCCTCATCTCCTTCTTCAACCCCAACCCGCGACTCCACCATCATTGGCCCCTGAATCGGCGCGCAAATCGCCCATACCAACCCAATCGTCCCCCAGAAAACCGCCGTGCCCATCCATCCAGGCGACAACGTCACCGCCACCAAAACCAGACAGCCTAAAAGCGTTTCGAAAATGGTGACGAAGGTCAATGTAGCTAGGTACCAGATGTTCTGGGGGCTGAGGGAGAGTTCGTTGGTTGGGTCGTTGGTGGCGAACGGGGAAAAGAGGTTCGGGAGAAGGTAGAGAACAGAAAAGAGGGTGCGAAGATCCCGCCAGGCGAGGGCGAGAGGGTTTTGCCGGGCGCGGGGAGGCGAGGTGTAGACTTGATCGTCTCGTTGTGGGGGCACGTAACAGACCGTCCCTATATCCGGTGGTGTTGCTGGGCTCATTGGGCGGGATATCTATAGAACGACTAAGAGCAACAGGAAAGTAGAGAATATGGGCAGAGTAGATGGAAGTACGGCGGCTCTTTTTTTTAGTTCTCTTTTTCTTGCTCCGCTCCAGCGGAACTTTCCGTGGAAGGAGCAAAATAGAGATTTCAAAGGATACAAGGAGCAGCCCAGCAGGAGTTTGCGTAGAGTAGAGAGCTGAACGGAGGTTCTTTTAAAATCAATAGAGAGAGGATATTCATAAAGATAGAGAGTTGAAGAGAAAGACGGAATATCCGGGGCGTGGTATCCTCAGTAATTCGCGGGAAGATGCTGAAGCCGACAAACTACTGCAGTTCCTGGCACCTTTCTTTCCTTCATGACTCACGCCATGTCGCATATACACAGATATATATGTATAAGTTATATATAGAGAGAGAGCCTTGCAACTTTTGGAGGTCTCAAGGTGATCCAACCCAGCCAACTCTCACAGGTCCGGGTGAGTAAATAGAAAAGTCACCAGAGGAAATAACAGGGAACAAAGGCTGTTTGTAGAGACATTGCAATGTAACCACAACCCAGCCACCATCACCACCATCACCACCACCACTACCACCAGCCAGAGTCGCATCCAGCATCCAGAGCAGGATACACTTTGTGAGCTGGACTGGTCGAGGCTGAGCGGATGTAGTTGTCTGGTCACAAGCACAGAGCTGGGGTTTGGGATGGATGAGAAACGAGAAGCAATGACAAATGTGTCGGAATCTGGTAACTAACTATTGTGGTTGTTCGCGTCAGCTGGTCACTGTATGAAATGTTCTCAGCGCATCCCCCGTTGTAAAATCTCGAACATAGGAATAGAACAGGGCCGTTGGGAGACAATTCTGGAGATGTTTTGTGTCAGCGTGTGATAGGACGACCTGGGAATGTAGTATCACATGATTCGATTCTCTCAGTATAGTTGTATTTGTGACATGGCGGGCTGCATATATAGTTCAAGACTAGACTTACTCACTTGACTATACAGAAGATTTTCCCCCAACGAAGGATAAAAATAATAAGAGATCAGAAAGGCAAAGAAAGACGGGGAGTTGAGTATGACCTGCGTTATTAGCGCACCACATAGAGAACATGCTTGAGAAAATGGAGGAAAAAACAAAGGCCGGATAAGAACTCCTGCCCATCCAATATGTAAATGCATCCGTAGTCGCTCATGAGCCTGTTCACGGGTTACAAAAAGGGGAAAGAGAAGAAATGAAAAATAAAAAAGAGTGTACAATGTAGCGTGACTAGAAGGAAGGGAAAAAAAAGGGGGGGAGAGAACATGAAAAGCAGCAAAGAGCACGGGAAACAATAATAAAAATATAAAATCGGATCCACCAGCGTAAATAGCTCCTGTGGAGGTAGTTAGTGTGCACATCACATCCACCTCCTAAGATTATACCCAATATAAAAATCTGAATTGAAAAAAGTCGTACAGCTCCAAACCCAAACCAGCCGGAAGAAACAAACAAAAAACTATTTCGTCCCCCCCACCCTCGCAGCTCCACCACTAGCTCTCCACCAAACATCGCCGCCCCATCTCATCATCCGCTCAACCGCTGCTGTGGGTGTATCGACCGCAGGCCGGATATCAAGATAAAACACCGGCTCACCGTCCGGCCCCGGAGGCCCGGAGTAGTAGTCAATCACGTAGCGCACTTCTTTGGGTCCTGAGGGTGTCTGGCGTTGGACGTACCAGTCATGTCGGTCGAAGGGGGGCGCTGTTCTATTTTTTTTGTTAGCTTGTGTATATGAGATAGTGAAATGGAAAGGGGGGTCCAGGCGCAACCCACCCAAACTTAGCCGGATAAACCCAACCCAGCGCCTGCAAAATGCTCGCCTTGGGCGTCCACTCCTGCGGCCTGCCCTGAAATCTCACCAGGCGCGGCTCAGGCAGCCGACCACCAGCATCATCCACACCACCAGGACTACTCTCCCTCCACTTCTCCCTCTCCATCTCCTCCCGATGCACCTCCTCCCACAACCCCAGCTCCCCCTTCTTGCACCGCTGCCACCCCTTCCACAGCCCGCCCGCAAACGTACGTTCCCACCCCACAATCTCCTCCCACGCGCCCTCGTTGAGGAAATTGTGAACCGCAACCATCGCCTCGACGGCGTCCTGCGGTGTGTCCGAGTAGCCCTTGCGCAGCAGCGCGTTGTACATCTGCTGCGGGGAGGGGTATTCCCATCTGCTGCCGCCGCCGTCGGTGTTGTCGTCGGCGCGCGGGATGGAGGAGATCTCGCGCTCGACGGGGAGGTCGACGGTTTGGTTTGGCGCGCGGGTCTGCGGGATGGAGGTGAACATGTAGTTTAGGGGGTTGAGTTTGGAGAGGGTTGATTGTGATTCAGATGTGGTGGGGTCAGGGGTTGCGGCGGCGGCGGCGGTGGGCTGTTGCGGGGTAGGCAATGAAGAAGGGGCTACGTAGAAGGGGGAATCCTTTGAGCGGATGGGACAGGCTGAAGATGGTTGTTCTGTGTCATTCTTGCTCTGGCCTGGAAGGGTGCGGATGGGACAACCGGATTGGGACTATGCGCGGGCAGCAGGAAAAGTGGGGAGGGTCTGATTAGCCGATTTTGTTCAAGACAATTGGTATTTAAGGATTTTTCATTGGGATGCATGGTTACCGCCTGGGTGTTATCCGATCGTGGTAATCCAAGTCTCTGCCGCTCTGCACCTTGCGTGTATTCGTTGGCGGTTGGAGATGGCCCCGAGGGTTTGGAAGCCCAGAACCAGCCCATGTTTATTATTTGTTGTGATTTATTTGTATTTTCAGAATGGCAGATATATATAATTTTCGTGGAGGGGTATATTCTGTCGTTGGTGGAAAGCAGACACGGATTGCAGGCGATACTCAATTGAGGTTGTAGTTTAACTATGTATGATGAAATATTGTTTTGGGAACAGAAAGAAAGTTTTTTTTAACTTTTTTTTTTTGCAGCAAAGAAATCCAGCGATGATGACGCTCACGTGATGGCGCACTAATCAACCAATCATATCTACATATATAATCTGTACTCTGTACTCCTATGAGAATAAACCAGTTAAATACAAAAATTAATAATGAAATACCAGCAGCTCAGTATTACGTCTCTACCCATAGAGTATTATTTCCCAAAAAGGCTCAAAAAATGAAAATAAAATCAAATAAACCGCCCAAAGTAAACTCCATCGCAACCCAATCCAATCCCAAAAAACATGAGTGAAGTATAGACTCCCTACGAACAATAAGCAGGCCAAACCCAAACTCGCTGACCAAAGAGCCGAACATAAATAAGGATACAAAAATAAGTATAACTACACCAAGAAGAGGGAAATTATAAAACAAAAACGGAAACAGAAAGAAAGAAACAAACCAAAATCCCAAAGTCGAACTCCCCCTTTTCCTTTTCCCTTCTTCGCCGTCTTTTTCTTTTTTGCCCATCTGCCGCCCAAAAGAATATACCAGAATTAAAATCCAAATCCAGACCGAAACGAAAACGAAAGCGGTATATAATAATACACTCAGCCATATATCCCTTTATTCTGACCTCTTGGCCATACCTCCCTTACGCCACCTCCACAACAGCAGGCCCTCGCACAACCTCCTCCCAAATACCTCGAAACACCTTGCCCTGCAACTCAGAAATATACAAATACCCTTTCAACACCTCCTCAACCGCCTTCCACCCATCGTCCCCATTCCCATTGCCATTGCCATTACTACTACCAACATACACGTGCTCCCCACCCCACCCAGTCCCAGTCCCAGTCCCAAGGACAGGCCGAATCCACCCCCTAACCGCCGCAACATCCCTCAACCGCTCTAGAAACCACGGCTTCGTCTTCTGGGCCCTCGAGCCGCGCGCACCCAGGAACGCCGCCCAGGCGACCAGGTCGAGCCACGCGCTTGGTAAACTGGGGAACATGGACGTAGGGAACCTGCTGACAGCCACGCTGAGGTGGCGTGTAAGGGCGCAACCGAGACCGGAGGAGGGCGGGGAGACGATGAAGAAGTGGTTTATGTGGCAGATGGCGGCGACCCGGGCGATGGCTTCGAGGGGTTGGAGTGGTGGTTCTGAGGTTATGGAGGTTACGGAAGTGGGGGGAGTTTTCTGGCCGAGCCGGTACGGGTACTCTAGTAATTCGTATTGCATCTCGTGGCTTTTGTAAACGAATATTTCGTTCTCGACGGTGGAGAAGTTTGCTGGGTGCTGGGCGCTGGCGTGTTCGAAGAAGAGGATCTCGCGGAGGCCCCTGAGGGCGTTTCGAAGTGGTGTGGAGAGAGCTTCGTTGGTGCAGAGGGCCATACCGGTGTTGGATAGTTGGGAGGTGGGTGGTGGGAGTATCCGTCCTGCGGTCTCCGGTGGGATTGGTTGTAAGTCCCATGTTAACGGGAAAAGGGGGCGTGACATGAGTGCAGAAGCGGACATGATATCGCATCTATGGGAATGTTTAGAAGGGGGTTGAATCTAACATGAGTTAATCTATTTTGAGAAGGGCAGGTAACCTACGTTAATATGTTAGAGAGCACGCGCATCCCCTCTCCTTGGAATGAGGAACCGAAAACACCTCCGCGCAAGTCAACCATCTTTTTCAATCCCTTGATATGAATTCTGGCTTCGTCGAAATCGCCAATAGTCAACTAGAGTATGTTTGCGATGATCAGCATATTTGCACAACTAAATGTATTCATAAAAGCATAAAAGACCAATCATAGCAAAGACGGACAAAGAAAGAAGTATAAAACCTACCGCACAAGACGTCAAACTAACAACAATATCAAAGGCCGAATCCGACAGCGACAGCTTCGGATCATTTATTTTCCTATTCATTTCATCAATACACCGAGCCTTCATCATGTAATAGTCCGGCTCGAACAGCTTGTCATTTTCAGAACCAGCTCTAGCCGCGATAGACAAGGGGTCCGGATTCTTCCCTTGCAAGACAGCTCGATGCGCGGCGCACAGACTCATGTAGCCGAAGAAAGGCCCTGCTTCAGAGATTGTCGCGTTGATAATTAGGGCCATGCGTTTTTTGCTGTCATGGGGCTGTTTTGTTTCCGCGGGGAAGGTCATGGGAATTAGGACAGCGGAGACTTTTTCAATATATGATCAGCTTAATTCCGATGGGATATAGGTATAATATTTTTGTTAAAAAATACAAGCGAAAAATAAAACAAAATAGAAGGTTACCTACAGTATTTTATCAGTCCGTCTATTATGGTATTGGTAGGCGGACTTGAGCCCGGGAGGGTGCCGAAGGGGTCAAAAGCCCAGGTAGGGGAATCCGTCCACAGATTGGGGAAGTAAGGTGAATCTGAATCATCCTTACCCGGCACGACGGCGGCGCCATCTCCAGACGGTGATCCGCCGGTCATCCATAAATCCGAAATCGAGGTCGGACTTAGGCTCATCGTTGTCGTATCTGATATACTGTTGTTGTCAATATCCCTTGTCGTATCCGCGTCGCTAACGCTAGCACGGGCGCTGGCATTGGCACTTGCGCTCGCACTGGGAGTGCTTTTCCGCTGGTTCTTTGCAGTGGATGCGGCGGTCTGGGTATCAGTCTTATTTTTACTGGCAGTTGGCGACGAGCTCTTCTCTTTAGCAGCACCACGCTTGGATGTCCGCTTTAGACCGAGTAGTCTCTCTCTGCGCCGCACGTCGCGCATAACATGGGACCTGATCGCCTTGCGGGCGTTTGCGTCCTTGATCCGTTTCGAGGCGAGATCGTCATCGTGGTCGATGAAGGTGAAAGATGGGGCGTCTGACGGGATTGATGATTTGGATGATTTTGGAGCTAATTGCATTTGACAGCGGCGCAAGATGAGATACGGTTAGCATACCAACTGGTTGTTCTTGCGCATAATGAAACGTTGCACAATCTGGGGTATAATTATAGAACAAATGGGGGGAACAAAAACTCAATCCAGGCGCACTGGGGTAGGATGAATGGGGTATATATTGGTAACCGCCATTCCTCCGCAGTTTCTATAGACTATGGAAAGGAAAACGGATACAACAACGGCAGAGAGTAGTATAGCATCCAAAAACGTGGGCTATAAAAAATTGGAATACTACAACAAACTCCCTGGGATAGCCTCTGACTGGCAGTATCATAGAAGCAATGAGGCAGGGACACGGAAAGTTATATAGCAGACTAAAAGAAAACGCGCACCTTGAGCGGGCTTAGCAGGGGAGTTGGACAATGTCGTCCGTCCCTTCGCCTGTATCTGTCTAGGTTGCTGCTGTTGCTGCTGCAGCTGCAGCTGTATATGTGGTAGCTGTGGTGGCTGGTGCTGGTGTCCGTGGTTGTGGCTGTGGTTGTGGTTGTGGTGGATATTGTTTTGCTGTTGCGGCGGTGGTGGTGGTGGTGGCGGAAGGATCTGCGCCGTCTGCTCCCAACGTATGTGGTTCGCCATGGTTTAACTGGTATGTGTAGTGCGAGTGACTCCGTTGTTCTCCTCCAAGACTAGCAGCCTCTTAAATCTATAGCGTAGCAGCCGTGGAAGAGAGGTGTGGATCGCAGGTTCATCCCTGGCATATCGTGGCAAGCGGCGGAGGTGGAGGCGGCGGGCGGCGGGCGGCGGGCGGCGGGGAGCTCTCCGTCAACAGAAGAACCGGACCGGGCGCGCGCGGAATATTGCAGGACGGGGGAGACGGCGTGATAATAGCTGCGGAATCAGGCGGGGATAAGTAATAATAGCGAATAAAAGATATGGTGGTGGAATAGATGTGGGGGAACGTTTGGTAGCGGAATCCGGGGAAGAGGACGGGAGGTGGTTGTGTGGAGATATATATATCACGGGAGCGAGATATTTTGAGTTCGGTTTGGTGGACGCAGGAAAGTCAAAAAACAGACGAAAAAGAAAGAAGAGGAAAAAGAAGATGAGAGGAAACCAGACAAGAGCAAAAAAGGCAAAAGCTTCCGCAGATGGAGGCGGAGGTTTTCTTATTATGGTTATATTTAATTCTTCTAGGATAAATAGAGTGTATCTCATATCGTCGTCGTTAGGGATTTGCTCTTGTATGTATGTGGTCAACTAACTATCTATCTACAGCTTAGCTCGTTCGAAGCTCCGCAAACACCAATCAGCAGCCGAGACATCAAGTCCCAAGGGCGGGCTCTAGCTGCATTCCTGTCCAGAGAAGTATCCCGCCCCGCCCCGCCCCGCCCCCGAAGATCCGATAACATGGCCCAAAGCAATCCAGATGTAGGTCCCTACATCCATCTACCATACACGATTGTGACATAGTTAATTTTATTTGTCTTCAATATTAAACAATTCTTCAATCGTCACCTCATTCCCCCACAGATCTCGGTCCCACGGCGCCCCCGTCGAGTAAATCTACACTCGAAATATCCATGCACTCTAAAAGAGATATAAGATATATACATACATGGCTACAGGATTGAGTGTGCTGCAGTTAGCCTCTCCGGAACTCAGCCATCTTCTGCATCTTGTCCCGTCCCCATCCCATGGGCCTTTTCCATCCCGCGATACAACGGAGGAGTACTATTGGGCCCCCTCTTGAGCCACAACTTGGCGGGCGATCAGGGAGCAAATGGGAGCTTTGAACTCTGTTCTGGCAGCCCACGGCAGCCGATGTGCCGCGCGTGGGCCATCGGTCTTCCGGGCCCTAATAAAAACTACTACCAGGTAGTTAGAGGTATCTTAAACCTTTTGACCCTCCGGGAGCTTGAGATCGTCCATTGTCTGTCCACTGATTGCTGGAAGCAGCTCACTTTTTGGATTTAAAGCCTTCCTGGAGCAGCCAATATGCAAAATAAGGTTTGGGTGCCTCTTTACCTGGCGCTTTCAACATCATCATGATGACGATGATACAACAATAAGAGGTCCCGTAGGGAGGCGGTTAAGCTTCACAACTGGCAGCCGTTAGTTTGAGCTCCGTAGTTTAGACTTTTCGAGGTCGATCGAGGCAGCCCCAGGCGCCAGAACCATCCGGCGGCCGCCGCTTGCCAAGGTCGCTCGCACCTATAAGGTTTATTTAGTGTTTTTGGCCAAAAGCTTTTTCTGGCTTTTAGTACGGATATCGTGATTGGTGCGGAGTCGCCGGTGGCTTCTGAAAGTAAAATGGTATTATTGTTAAAGAGTGGGCCTGCCACCTAGTTACTACTAGGTAACAAAAGTAAAATGGAAGAAGTAATAATGTCCTGCGTTTCAAAGAAAGGTAACTGCTAAAACCTTATGCAAGGAGGCAGCCCGGTTTACACTGTAGTAGTAGATCACTAATGAATAGCAATTAATAACATATATACATATCTAACTGCATCAGTTTGTCGTGTTGAGATCTCTTTCATCCTGAAGACAGAAGAAGTAGCTAAGTAGATGTGTGTTAAAAGATTGAATGCCCTCATCTGGCTCTTCATATTCAATAAAACTCAGCCCTCTTGATCCTACTGTTCATTCTCTAGTGAAACGGCGTGGGTTTCTATATTGCATATTCATGAAAAATGTATGCAGGTCTGGTGATAAGGAACCATTCCTCCATCCATAACTTTATATATTGACAAAAAGAACCAGAAAAGAAAAATTAAAATTAAAATTAAAAATTAAAAAAAATTAAAAAAAAGAAAAATATACGAAAGCCAGGATTCGCTGGTTGTCACTCAACACCTGCTTACACTCAAACATCTGCCATTTCGCCATCACTATGATGAAATATTTTCAATGATATCTCAACAATGCAATTAGATTTTAAGGTGATATATTATATGATGAAAATATATACAGAAAATTACATATAAAAATATACATCTAATTCTGTAGATGTTTGTTTGACTTAATAACTCACTCAGAATGTGAAATCTTGAGTGAAGACAGATTCAGTGAGCAAGCAGTCATTAAATCAGTAAAGATTGTAATATTATCAGATTTCTCTGACACTGAATTCATGAACATTCAGACAGAGCTCTGAAAATGTGATTTAGTCACTTTTTACAAAATCAAGAGTCTACTTTTCTGATTAGAAAGATAATTTTTGAATTTTTCAATCTTTTTCTTATTCAACTATGATCTGTACAGCAGCTCATTCTTTCTTCTCTTTTTACTCTTGAGTCTTTTTTACATCTCTAAGCTTCTTTTCAATCTGCTGTTGAGTAGCTCTTGCAGTCTTATTCATATTTTTTTGCTGCTTTGCTGTCTGATGAGCTGTCTTCTGCTTCATTCACCATGACAAATCTATCAAACTGCTTTGATTCCTCAGAGCAGGTGCAGAGTCATGTGTTTATCACATTGAATGTCCATGATGGCAAGTCATATGCTTTAAAGCTGGTACATTGTGTACTTTCTTTTTATTCAAGAGAACTCAAGTTCTGATCTGTTTGTCATTCTTGCTGGTGAGATAATGCTGTTGACATCACAGTTGCGTCACACACTCACTCTAATTGTATACATTTCTACATGTCTAGGCTAGGCACTGGCCATATGAGAATACAGATTTCTCCCTCATGAAGATCAAACAACATGAGAAGATACTGAGGGCTCCTTGCGTTCGTGAAGCCCGCTTTTGCCCGTCTCGACAGTGTTGGCGAGAATGGTACATGGGGCAGGAAAATGCCATGGGTGGATCAAGCTTAATGATAGTCAATTTAAAGAGTTGGGCAACAAGCATCACATATTTTGTCGATGGGCTATCATCAAAGACATGATTCCTCATGAAATCAGCATGAGTGATATCCCCGAAGTACGCCGCAAAATGCAAATAGCTCTGCTGTGGCCTGGAGATGTCAAACCTGAGAATTATCGCGGTTCGGTTATCGTGGATTTGGGCAACACGATCACCTATCCTGGAATCCGCCGTTTCTGGTCGAAGTCAAGACGCAGGGAGAGCTTTGCTAGTATGGATCGGTATTTTACTGACTGGGAACAGTCCCATCGAGACGGAAAACTTATCGAGAAGTATAGGAATACGATTCCTTAAAAAAAACTTGGCTGTCGTAAAGAAGCTGGAGGAGGAGTGGTTGAACAAAAAGCAAGATGAACAAGAAAACAGGGAGGAGTCATTTATACAGGGAGATGGGACACATTGGTGGTTGAAATCTGATATGGAGGTCTAAGTTGTACCGTATCTATAATAATTTCTTCATCAACTGAGAATAACCCAGTGGTCAGTTGTGCATGTTCTTGAAATAGATATTCTTTCAAGCATATTTGGCTTTTCATAGTTCAATGGTGATAGACATTTCACCCCCCCCAAAACGAAAAAAAAAAAAAAAAAAACTTTGAGAACTAAGCTATGGACTATTCGTGAGACCTAGGCGGACAAGAAGAGAAAAAGAATAATGAAACAACAGAACAATAGAATAATAATAGAATAACAGAGCAACAGAAAATGAAAAATGAAAAATGGAATGAAAAGGTTGGCATCAGAACTATTGATCTCCAAAATTCAATGCCGAAAGGAATGCAAACCAGAGTGCCTGCACCTTGTGGTGCCATCACTGAACTGCTAGAGAGATTCTCTCAATGCGACAATCACGGCTTTTTTTTTTTTCTTGCCTTTTCCATTACTGTGGTCACTCTCCCTGCTGCTGCTATTGCTGGTAGATTCAGCCCGAGGTTCGGAGCATTTTACCTCACAGAACTCTGCTTTCCTGTTTATCACATATGGAAGATAAACTTTGCGACTCTTAACACTCAAGGACCTGAACTCCTGTATCACCTCTCATTACTTCCTTTAGTCACATATACGAACATGGCCCCAGATTCGTCGAATTCAAGATGTACTATGTCTTCCATAATCAAATGGCTTCCTCTAGGCGGTGACTGTTCATGGGGGGAAGGTAGCCGAGCTGATGGTGAGGCAATGTAATCTGGCAAGGATTCTAATCGGCTGGGGAGAGGTGATAGCGGACTCGAGAGAGACGAAATGATTCCATCTCGATTCTGTGGAGTGGACGGGCGCTGTGGAGATTGGTATTGCAATATTTCACCAGTGGTTGGTTTGGTGCTGACTACACTCCCAGTGGAGATGTGTTCATACCCCCCTGCTACAGGTCTCCAAGCATGGAGGGGTGGATAGTCATGGCCAATGTCTATATCACGGCCGTCGCCTGATAACAAATGAATTCACCAAAGTGCAAGCTTGACGGTGAGTTTTTTCGGTCCGCTGTTGCTCCATGGGATGCGCTTGAATTCGACAGGTGGAATGTAAATGTCCTTGTTCTGAGGATTGGCGGGAATGCTGGGGTAATCTCATGTCTATTTGCATTTGACTGGATGCTGATGTATGTGAGTCATTTCACTGGTGAGATCTGGATGAAAATTCTTGCTGTGGAGCAAGTTCACGAGGAGATCATTTCATAGTGATACCCGAACCGACCCTTTCCCGCGAAAATCGCATAACCATAACTTCATCCTGGTTAATTATGTACCCATATCATGTCCCCCACTGCGTGTAGCAGTACTTGAGCAATTGTGTAATCGGCCAATAATAGGCTATATAAGTCCGGCTCATCATTGACTTCCATTTCTCTGCAAGCTTCATCTCTCCCAGGCAGTGATTGATATATCCAGTTTCACCTGCTGTTTTCACGGCACCTGCCCAGTCAGGAAATAATGAATTTCTTTCGACACCAGCATCAATATTTGCTCTCCCGCCTCGCGTCATGTCGATGGCATTACTAATGTTCATCTCACTCTGAGCCTTTGCCAGGCCAACGCTGACCTGGGGGACTATATAGCGAGTCATCAGATGCTCAAAGGTGTCTTCATTCCAAATTTCACGTTCAAGCGTGGTTAGGTCTGGGGAACACTTGGGAAGGTATGATCTCGGTTTGCGTAAAATATCGCCATAACAGGCTAGAAGAGTGTCCAACGTGAAATCATCCCAGTCCGAGATGGCAGCCTGATCAGTTGGTAGGCCCTGTGAAGCATTGTCGCTGTTGAGTTCTGGATTTGGCTCAGTAAGATATTCGAGGAGAGTGCGAGAAGTCATTGTCCTTAAGGTTACTTACGGCACTTTTGAAAATCCGACAGGCGAAAGAGCTTCGTCGGGACAGATAACTGAAGTGAAAACCTTAGATTCCCTCGTGATAGGGATGTTGAGAAAAATCGTGATGGGAGAACAGCAGGAATCGATCAAAGTCGCGCTGGAGGATTTTCTATTCAGGAAAGAACAATTGGCTTAGAGATGGCGTTGAAAGTGCAGGTATTTTGCAGGGGAATAGGTTGAAAATAGGTTGAAAATGGTGTGTTAAACAAATCTCAAATGTGATGACAACATGAATTTTAAGAGTACAGCGAGTGAGACTGTCGATGGGAATAGACACCTATTTATGCGCAATCTCTTGCTTCTCAGAAAAGGTGTAGGCCTGGTATATCTTCTCATGGTGAGCCACTGACATCCTTAGAGCCAGTGCTATTCAGCCTATTCTTGCCGCTGGCTGGTTCCCATTGAGATGAGAGAGATTGGAGGTGAGAACCTCCGTCCATCTCATTACACTCAATGCGGAAAAGAAATCGTCGTTGGCTCTGGCATGATTGGAGCGCTTATCCACACAGGTTCACGCCCCTGGCTAGGTCCAAAGATAGCGACCAACGAAACGAGATGACCTTTAGTTATCTGTTAACAAAGCTGCGCCGCTCTGGTTCCATCACCAGGGGTGAGGGGTATTTAAGCGCCAGACTGAAACAACAAATGTAATAATTATGTAGTTCTAACTTGGGTTGGATTTTTATGTATATCATATTGTTCAAACAGTCACTCCAGCACTGGCAGCACAGAAGAATCAAAGAGAAAGTAAGAAACTTCAATTTTCAACAACAAGTACAGATAGAGCTAGACAGTGTCACAGTGGTCTGTTCTAACTTGAGTTACATTTCAGGAAATCTTGAACTTGATTATTATGAAAGATCTCATGATCAGTGAATATAAAAATTTTGTATACTTATTCATACTGTTCAGTAACTAATTCAATTTCAGCATAAACTATGATTTATGAAGCTTGACAGCTGTATTTGATTAGTGTAAAGTTTATTTCAAACTCAGTGTTGAGTTTGATGTGAGCTCTCGGCATCATAAAAAAAAAGCTTCAATTGTGAGAACCTGAAAAGACAGGGTTTTTTTTCGGTCGGGTCCCGGGTCGGGTTTACAACGCTACTCTTGACAGAGAGAAGAAATATATGATATATAATTAAACTTTCAGCAAATAGCTTTAAAGTCTGAGAAGTTATTATTATTATTATTATTCTTCAATTATAGATGTATGCAGTCAGAGACTATGACATCTACCTGAGAACTTTAGTTCTCAGGGTTTTTTCTATATCTGTAAAGTTAACTATTATACATTCATCAATTTCAGATATGTAAAATCAGAAAATTCCAGCTCAGAATACAAAAACTGTTTACAAATTGCAGTGTTTTAACATCTTTTGATACTTTGAAATCATTTGACAATATCATGACAAAAGAAAAGAGAAAAAGAACACAGTCTTAAAGATAGACACATTAAATAGATAGATAGAAAGAAATTGAAAGAAAAAGATAAAGAAAAAGATAAAGTAAAGAGAGACTATAATAAAATAAATTATTAAAAGAGAGTGTATAGCTATTTTAACAGACTATATCTGATTAATTTTCTCCTCTTCATATTCAGATAATTCTGAATTTAGCTATTTTCTTATGACTGCTTGAGTTTCTGATAGAAAGTCTATTAAGTATTTAATTTCTGTCTCAGTTGAGAATAAGAATCTTATATTTAATTAATTTAGATTATACTTCTCTTTCAATCTGACTCTGAGATTATTGTATAATACACAGTGTATTACAATATACTCAGAATTCTCATTTATATTATAGAATGAGTATTCTATTGAGTTAAATCTATCATCAAATCTTTATATATAAGATTTGAAATAGTCATATTCTAGTTTTAGCTGTATTATAGATGAGAATATTTTCTTTTTATATTTAATTAAACAAGATTTTCACTTGAATTTTATTTCAAATCTTGAATAATATATACTCTTCTTTTATTTCTGTCAGTTTTTATTTTACTTATTTAAATAAGATTCTTTTATTTTTCTCTTTATAAAAGATCAGAATATAATTTTTTTGAATAGATCTGCTTAATTCTGCACTCTTTTTTACAGCTGAATCAGTCAATTCATTATTATGAATATTTATATAAGCAGAAACTCAGTGTAGATAAATTATCAGCTTTGATATTCTTTTCTTTTGAATTTTTAAAACAGAGTTTAAAATCAGTTCAAGATTCATTTAATCATTATAAATCTTACTATTTCTAAGTCTTTTTAAAACAGCTTGATTATCAGAGAATATTTATATCTCTTTTAAATAATTTTCTCTTTTATAAGATTTTATTTCAATGAGTTTGAAAGCTTTCACTATTATAAATAATTCAGTATCAAAGACTTCACATTCAGAGTCTAGATTTCAGAAATCTGAGATAAAATTAATATTATCTTCAGTATAAGCAATGTCTGTATCTAATCTATTCAAGTTCTCATTTTTTAAGTCATCTGAATAAATCAGAATAGAGTCTTTTATATTAATTGTAGAAATTCTCTTTAAATACTATTCATATTCTTTCTCTTTTAATAGTTCACTTATTTATAAGTCTATAAGAGATTCAAGCTTTTCTCTTCAGAGAGATAACTTCTCATGATTAACTTTTTCAACATTTAAAGAAGAAAATTGATTTTTAATCAGAGAGTATAGTCTGTAAAGTTGAGAAGACATTTTCTTTGAAGAATTATTTTCATTTTAATCAAGAAATCTATTTCAATTCAGTTCATTTTCAGAGTTAATTAATAGAAATGAAGAAGAGACTCTTTCTCTGATTATATAATTTAAGCTTATCTTTACAACTCTCAGAGTATAGTTTATATAGACTTTTTCAAATCTAATAGCAGAAGAAGGAATTGAAGCTTCAATTTTCATTACTTTAATAGAAGATGATTTAAATACTCTCAGAATTCTTCTCAAGACTCTGTTTTACAGACTTTGAAAGAGTTCAGTGAAATTCTCTTGATTATTTTATTAAACTTAAACTTCATAATCAGCTACTGATATAATACAGACTATATATAACTGTCTTATAGTCTGGAAGAATAGATCTCTCTCTGTATTTAATAGTCTGATTATGTTATTTAATAGTCTTTCTGTCTTAACAGTTCTTTGTTAAATGTGATATTTAAAATTCAACTTGAAGTTTAATTATACTTCTAATCATTTGATATTTACACTGGGTTTAATCTCTCTATTTAAAAGAGTTAGAGATAGTTCTTTCTCATTGAATCTAGAAAAGAAATGAATTAACTCAGTTTTATTCATATTAAATTAAATTTAATTGATATCTGCTCTAACAAAGATTTTCTTTACAGCTTCTTCAATTACTTTCAAATTCTCTTTGATAGTTTTTGAGCTGTAGACTAGATCAATATCATTCATATAACTCAGAGATTACACTATTCTCATATTTCTATTTTTGAATAGATATGCAGTGTATATTGCAAATAAAATAAGTGAGATTGAAGATCTCTGTGATACTTCTATTTTTATCTCAGTCTTATCTTGTTTCATTTCATCAAAGAAGAGTTGTATAGAGTCTGAGAAGTGAAATTGAGCTTGTCTTTATCAAAATTTGCATATATAGACTTATTATGAGAATATTTTCAACTAAATTGAATTAACATAAATTGTCTAGCATTATATATTTGAAATGTATAATACTTAATCTGCTGCAACTCACTCTTGTTTGACTGCAGTAGCTGTCACGCTCCCGGCCGCGCCAAGGCCCCGTTGCGGTTCCACACGGCTCATCACTTCCATGCGGATGATTTCATTCATCCCGCAGGCTGTCTGAACCGGTTTTCAACCACTTTATAACATTATGCAGATGTATCATAGAAAGATTTGATTGATGAGTATAAGAATTCTACTTCTATAATGAGATCAGTAGATTACTCTTTCTTAATAATGAGATATCACTAAGATATCACTTCAGCTATTCTTACTTATGAAATGAGAAAAGAGTATTCACTCATTGTCTATATAGAATAGCTAGATGCTGACTTCTTATCAAAGAAGTCAGTAATTTGTCTTTTTCTTCTACTGAAATATATATAAGAGTTACTGTATGTCTTATATAATCTTCTTAGTATACTAAGTATCATATCTGTGATATTCTTGTAATAATCTTATAGCCTATAAGCTCACTATTCAAGTAAGATAGTTAAGCTCACTTATACAGCTTCTTAAATAACTACTTCTATATAATACTGCTGACTAGTCACTGCTTTAATTCTATTATATTACAATTTGAATCACTCAATCTGATTATACATTTGAATCAGTTAAGCTTTAACTGACTGATATAATCTCACACACTCATACTGAGATTAACTTAATCTCATTCTCTGAGAAAAATACTACATCATTCTCTAGAGTGTGTACATCTCTATCTCAGCAGAAATCTGAGATTTCTGAACCTGCTGTATATTTTAACATGAGCTCTTCAACTGCTTTATCACTGTCACAGCCTCTACACATCTACATCTATTATGAAGATAGAGAGATTAAGATCAGAGATTCTCTGAGATATAAGAGAAATATCTTGTCTAAATTTCACAGCTTTATCTGTACTCTTGAACAGAAATTTCACCTTAATCTGAGCCAGTATAATACTCATAAGATATGAGTAATATACACTATCAATCTTCTTGAAGACATCTCTGTGACTACTTGAATTATCAAGAAGAGAAAGCTTGAGCATATCAATACTGTTATGACTTGAGAAGAATTCAAGAACTTTCTACTGAATCAAATCAAAGATCATCATAATTATGACTTCACAGCAGTATAGTAGTTTAACTTATTATATTAACAGAATAATGAGAATTCTTCTGATTTCAATACAAGATTTGAAGAATATTAAGAGAAACTGACTGATGATTTGAATTAATTAAAAATGCAGCTTTATCTTACAAAGCTGACTTATAAGATGTGAATAATAATATCATAATATCAGAGTTCATCAAT